CCTGATTTGCTCTGCTTCTGTCTGTGATAATTTATTAATCCGTATGGCAGATTCTGTGGCTGTGATGAGGTCCACTATGGGCAACTGTTGAGGAGAAATGGCAAAATTGAGTCCTTTGGGTAATACTCTCTTTTCAAGTTCAGTGAGATTCCTTTTGAAGCTCATGACCTTCAAAAGACTGAGTGCCAACTCTTATGAGCACATTTGCAATGTGTGTATGAAGATAGTTATAACCACTTATTTTAGTAAAGGAAATCAAACATTTTCAATCCTAACATTTTTTCTCCTTTTATACAGTCTAACATGTGAACAAAAAGCATGTGTTTCATTTAGCCTGCTGTCCCACAGGTTCCCCTCCAGCCTTTCAGCTTTTCCCTCTTAACTCTAGGTCGGTTCCATTCAGTCGGTCAGATGCTGGAAATCTAGAACTCCACTCTGTTTCTAAATTTTGGAGAATTTTATACAGGTGTCAAATTTTAGGAAATTAACCATAAGTGAAATTTATGTTGTTATCACCCTCTTTGGGGCTTACCTTTCCCACTTTTTGGTGATATTCTTCCCTCGAACATTTGCAATACCCTCCTTTGGCGTGAAAACTGGTGGTGTAGCCAAGTGGGTACTCTAAAAAACAAATGCTCAGGAGAGAACAGTTATCAGTCATGTACTTCATGCAAAATGTACATACATTTTAATTCTCTGAGTGTAATGGCAGATTTTAATTTGAACTTATCATAGTTAAACACAGTGCTTTGTCATTATTTTGCTTTTGTTCCTTTTGCAGTATCACATCCTAGCATATGCCTCTACTACTAAGTTTTTTTTATTACATAGCTCCACTTTTGAATGTGACAAATCTACCATTTTCTTATGTCACAGTGGAATCTCTTGTCTGTTTTTTCTCGGTACTTCATGTCTTGGTATCAGTTCCTTTCACAGCCATTTTAATGGCTGGGTTTGCATCTTTTCTCTGCAGGCTGTTGCTTCTTCCTATTTGGTGAATCTGTTCACCATCACAAGAAGAGTTCCATCTTCTTTGTTGTCTGTTCGTCAGCTCCTCATGTCTTTATAATCCATTTTCACCTCCTCAGAAGGGGCCTTCGGTGTTGAAAACTTCCCTTTTTGAACACTGGTCCAGCTGCTTTGGGTTGTATTCATTACAGGTGTTGCATTCGCTCACACAGTTTTCCACCATCTTTTCCATGTGTGGGAGTCACTTTCAGGCCTTCCATGTTCTTCTGAGTCTGTTTCTGCTCTCATGTGAAGGATCATATGGTTGACCAAATTTTGTTGGGGCAACTTGATCTCTTTCCAATGTCTACTATTCTGTGTTGTTTGTTTCTCCATCTGCCCACTGATCTTGTAGACTTCTCCCTCTTTGAATGGCGTTCTTGCCCAAAACAGAGTATAGTTTCCTTTTGTGAATAACTTGAAAATCTTAGCTCAAACAGCTGCAAAACCTTTTTTGCACAATGTATAGCATTTTGGAGAAGACTGATTTTGTAAGAAAACCTAATACCCCCTTATATTTGATTATTATTGTATCTTTTTTTGATATTGTTATGCGTTGCCAGACCGAGGTTATATCTGCCAGTAGTATCATGCCAGTAGATGATGGTCTTGCACTGCTGTGGAACTACCAGAGAGACTTGCTCCGTGCATGCGCAACTCAAAAATAAATGAGCTCCAGCCTAAGCAAGAGGCTTACAAGAATACCCAATGGATTTATTTTGCCAAATGGATCATCATGGCATTGCCGTATTGGTC